TCCAGGCTGTTTCATGTTTTTGAGTAGCCTCTGAGCTAAGAATGTCTTTACATATTTAAATGGCTAGGGAAAATGTTTTAAAAGAATATTTCATGACATGAAAATTAAATAAAATTCATTTCACTGCCAGAGTTTATTTGGAAAACAGATGTACCAGTTTACAAAACTAGCCCTGAAAGGATCTTGTCTATCCACCTGTTTGTGGTGCCTCCCTCCTTCCCATACACAAAAAATAAAGCTTAGAGAGGGTAGCGGTCTTATCTGTCTTGTTCCCAAACTATAGCCCAGTACTTAAGAATTCTAGAACAAAGTGAGGGCTCAATAAATATTTAATGAGTAAATAAGTGGCCAATAAATGTCACTCTGAGGAATTTAAACTTAAGCCCTCAAACATTATAGGTTTTAAAATATGCATAAAAACCTTGCAAAAGTGGCAAAATATTCTAGTAGAGAGGACCACACAGCTTAATGTAATGATGGTCACCATCAAAGTGTAGACTACAAGGTCTTGTGATCATAAAAGATTCTCTCAATCACTGCATGGTGGCACAGCAGGGTCAGTTGATGGTGTTCCCAATTATTTTAAGATGCTAATACAGTACTGAGAAATCTCATTTCCCATACCTAGTACACAGCATCAATATCATGTTAAATATTAATAAATGCTCACAATTTCAACACATCTAGATCATATCCTAATGAATTTCCAGTATGTAAATCTTTCCTATGCTGCTGATCAACAATCTATTCTATAAGCAGCTGAAAATTTTTTAGAAATTAAAAGGTTACCACCCACAGATGAAAAGCAGCTTTTTAATCTTTTTATGCTAGCCAGAGAGTGGGTGTGTGATTTAAAAAAAAAAAAAAAAATACAAGCCAACTCTGTTGGTAGAAGACAAGGTATTGTTAAAAATCCCACCTATAAGCATGGTTTGTTGAGTCTCAATCTTTCTAATCTGCAGAGAAAAAAAATGTACCCTCCTCCTGGAGGAATTTTATGTTGCTAACATTTCGTATGGTTAGTGACTTCTATACACAGGTACTTCAAAAAAAAAAAAAAAAAAAAAAGACAAGGGTTAGGTTTAACCAATTGTTTCCCCAAAATCTAAAATGCTGAATAGAAAGCATAAACAAATCAAGGTTTTATTTACCTTAAAGGTGTACCTGTTTTGTTTTGTTTTGTTTTTCTGACTTAGGTTATCAGCAATGAATTTAGGAATTCGGACCTCACAGAGATGCTTACAGCATAGGTACGTTTGACAAGTATCAAACTCTCAGCAACCATTGTGGATGGGGGGGTCGTCTTTTTCTCTATGGCACCCTGTGAAAAATAGCGTGGGTCTTCTGAGACCAGTGTGTAATGTGTCAGCACAGCCTGGCCATTAGCTCCAGATTTCACCTGAAGGGCCCTCGGAGTGCTACTGAAGATCGGGTAGAGGACCAGCGCTGCACACAACTTTGCTGTCAGATTCCGGCCTTTCCTTTCCAGCTAGCGTGTCTTCACGTTTACAGAGGGGTGACCACGGCCCCGCGGCCCGATCTACGGAGCCGCATTCAGGTCCTCACAGGACAAAGCTCTCCGCTCCACTCCGGCGCAACACCAACTTCAGAAACAAAACAGGAGGTGCAAAACTGGTTTCAGGTGGCAACGGCCTAATCCTGTGGCCAACTTTTGGGGACGCAAAGGCTCGCAGAACTTCAAACCCCACTCGGAGCCAAACCCGAACAGCCCCCGGGCTAGGCCCTGCTCCGCCGCCAGCCCCTCCCTCAGCTCGGCCCAGGCCCCTTCAGAGGACGAGCGTACAGGGAAATGGGGTGCGGAGAAATGGGATGCAGGGGAAGGAGTGCAGGTGAAGTGATGCGGGGAGGGAAAAGGGGTACAGGAAGAATAACGGTGCGGGGAGGGAAAGTTGGTTCGGGGGATGGGGGCCGCGGCCGCACCCCCGCAAGCCGCCCTGACAGGCCCACCCCCACCCAACCCCTCCAGCCGCTCACCAGGCTCCTACCGTGGGCGGGGACGCGCACTCACAGGCAGGCAACGGAGGGCAGCCGCTGTCCCGCAGCGCCGTCGCATGAGCTCGGGGCCGGCTCCTGCGCCGGCCGCCGCACCGGGTACATCTCCTTGCCCTCCCGGCCCTGCCCCAGCCGCCTCAGCTCCGCGGGAGGAGCGGGAGCGAGACCACGCGCGCCCCCGCCGCCCACAGCCCCCACCCCCGCTGACGGCGCATGCGCGAGGCGGTGCGTCGTTGCGCAACACGCCGCCAGGGGTGGGGATAGGCCACGGCCGTTGGTCCCGCCCACCCGCGCATGCGCCGAGCGGATAGCTGGAGGCCTAGGACGGCAGTACCTGTACCCGGACCGCCGAGCGGAGAGCAGCGCGCTGCAGGGAATCACGGCTGAGGCTGCCCTTGCGCGCCTGTTGTGGGCGAGGAGGCCGACCGTGACGCCTTTGTGTCGCTTCTGGAGTCTTTGTCTTCGCTCTAAGGGGTACCGGTGGCAGCCTCCTGAGGTTTGAGAGGTGAGGGGCAAGGGAGCCTTCCAAGTGTGACCGAGTTAAATTTGTAATTTCTGATTGCTCCTCCGGGGGGGCGCATGGTGCCGGGTGTAGGAGACACTTCCAGGTCCTCATCTCGGTCCAAGAAGCCAATATTTGTAATCCCAAAGTTACAATTGATTCCAATCTACCACTTACAATGCAACCCACGGCGAAAATAAAGACACTAAATTATATCTTCAATCATCGGGGAGTCAAGGGGCTCTAAGTGCAGCCATGAAGATGGCTTTCTGGAACCAAGAGAACACCCAGGGCCTCACCCAGTTTTATTCAATAGGGGAGTGGCTTGAGGATTGACTGAGAACTGTGGGAAAGAGACTAGTATGAGCTGAGCTAGGTGGGTGGCCTAAATTTACCTCTGCGATATGCAGAGAGGATATGCAGAGAGAGTACTCTGCATTATATGGTATCTAATGTTTTGGTAAGTCTGGTGCTTCAGCTTTGGTGTAGCCTTTCAAGCCCCAGGAAGTCATGGCCTCTGTTTGGAGGCTCGATCCCAGCTGGCGCCGCGGAGCATTAGCTCTATCTGTCCTGTCTCAATCCGGCTCACATTAAAGAGCAGCAGGTGTAGGTTACCAGGGAAACACGCATGCCACCTTCAAAGACTATCACCAGCACCTCAGCTAGACCAATATACATTGCGTAAGGCCAATTGAAGGATAAACAGAAGTCCTAGCCAGCTCTGTGCATAACAATACAAGGAAATAGGGTCAGGCTCAGTCAAAATGGAGACAGTCGCTCTTCTTTCAAGGAGAGCTGCTCAGGTGGTCCTCCACAGCCGGGCAAGCTTTGACTGGGCATTAGTGGAGGATGGAGGGGCTGCCATTCTAGAGGCTGTCTGGAGAAGGCAGCCTGTAGGCTTGCGACCTCACCTAAGGCGAGGGTGAGGTCGCAAGCGCAGGAAGTCCGAAGCAGGTGAAGTAAGGGTTTCCCGACCCGTCAAAGGGTCTTTGGTGAAGTTACTGGAGATTACTCAGCAGTGTAAAGAGGGACGGGGTTTCACCATAGAGGCAGGTCCTGGCTGGGTGACTAAATGATGCAGGAGGGTGGAGATAGGGGATGAAGGGCCAGGGCTTGGTGAGTTGGTGGGGCTGGAGAAGGAGCTGGTGGCAGGGCTGGCTCAGGTGGGAGGTGGTGGGAAGTGCATTTATAGGTCTAGGAGAATCGGAGACCCCACAGAAAAGGCACTCAGGGTAGATGATAAACCTAAACGTAAAAGATAAAACAACACCTTTAGAAGAAAAAGCCTTTGTGATCTTGGGCAAAGATCTCTCGGGACACAACAAGCATGAACCATGAATGAAATTATTTGTAAACTGAGCTTTATCAAAATTAAAATCTGGACCAGCCAGATAGCCTAGTGGACCAAGCGCCTGCTTAGGCAAGTGCTCAGGAACCGGGGTTCAATCCCCCCAACCATATGCCGCTCTGGGGCCCGTCCCGAGGACGCTAAACTGTTTGCACAGTCTGGGGGTGGTGGTGCACGCCTGTAATCCCAGCGCTGGAGAGGCTGAAAACAGGAGGATCACTATGAGTCCGAACTACATAGTGAGACCTTGTACAAAACACATAATTTTTTTTTAAAATTAAAAACTGCTAGTCTTTGAAAGACACTATGAAGAAAATTGCAGATGGCAAGAAGAGTTTGCAATAGAAAATAGTTGTTGGAGGCCATGTTGGTCTACATAGTGAGTTCAAGGCCAGCCTGGACTACATAGCAAGACTCAGTCTTTAAAAAAACAAAACAAAAACAAAATAAAACAAAACAAAAAAGAGGGCCAGGCAGATAGCTCAGTAGAATAAGTGCTTGCTTGGCAAGCACAGGGTCCTGAGTTCAATCCCTGGTACAAAAACAAAACAAAAAAAAAAACCCTGTCTATATGAAGAACTTTGGTTTTTGTTTGTTTTTGCGGGACCAGGGATTGAACGCAGGCCCTATGTGCTTGCCAGTGAAGCACTTATTCTACTGAGGCATCTCCCCAGCCCCAGAACTTTGGATCAAACCCAGGCCCTCACACATGTGAAGATAGCAGCTCCACCATGGAGCTTTGCTCCAGTCCTTAAAAAACTCATAACTGAGTAAGACCACTCAATGAAACAATACGCCAACGGTTTTAGTAAATGCTTCATAAAGTGTGTAAATGGCCAATAAGCAAAAACTGCTCAACCCATTTAGTCCTTAACCACAGTGACACACCACTGGGCTTGTAGAATATCAAACAACTGACAGCCCAACCATCAAATTCTTGTCTCCTTCACCATACTGAACTTCCCAATGAAGACAGTAACAAAGTGCATATTTGTTTACAGACCAAAAATTAGAGAAAAAGAAGGGCTACAAGGACAGCCAACATTTTGGCCCTAGCCTTTCAAGGTTAGTGAAGACTCAGGACATAGGAGAACTTAATACTGTAACATTATGTAACTCAGTTGTGTCCCAAATTTTCTGATCAAGGAGATTATGGGGCCACAGAGCGATGTGATCGATGACGTACAGTGTGCCAAAGGAGAGTCACATGGAGAGAAAACATTCTCTCAGGCTTTCACAGAGAGCAAATTGGTCAAGCAGTGGCCGTGACTCATTCACATGGCTGATACTGAAAAAGGATCTGCAAACTGCGGTACAAGGTAACAGGATAAGTCCTGAGGGGACTTGACTGACCTTATACAAAAGTTACATTTCTTGTTTTATAGGTCTTGCTTTATCTTGGTCTTAACCATCCAGCAGAAAAGTATAAAAATGAGGTATAAAAAGTAAAGCCATATTAATATGCTGAGCTGTGAAAGGCTCAAGTCAGCAACTTCTGACGTTGCCAGTCCTATGGATAACCCACTACTATTATGGACTACAGGACTATATTGGATTATTTTGCTGAATTCACGCACCTACAATATTTAAATGGCAATGGAATACCCATCTCTAACAAAACTAAACAAAAGGGATGTAAAGAAAGACCATTTTGTATCTGTATATACAAAATAGTATAGATATACAGCTACTTTCTCTTAATGGGAAGAAAGATTTGTACTAATGGTATTTGGACAGGAGATCATGTCTGCATCTTGTACTATGAATAACCGCTAAGATGATAACAATATGTAGTGTATTAATTATTGAAACTGTCCTATTAATCAGTTTTGAAACTGTCTCATTGCTTTCTCAATAAAATTAATTTTTTAAAAAGTGCATATTTGCACACAATCTAGCTTTCCTTCCTATAGCCAAACACAGCAGCTGAGCCTCTCCACTGTGTGATAAGCAGATGGATTTCCCCTTGGGAATCAGGATTGGCCACCCCAGCTCCTGACTCCCTCTGTCTATGGATTCAGGGCAGGGTCATCCAGAGCACTCAGTTGTCTTGCTGAGATGCTGCTGCATTCCAGCTAGGAATCTTAGACCAAAAAGCCACTGATTGTCCTTCCAGGAATAATTAGCAACCCAAGTGCACTGCTTACAGTCCTACCCACTCCCTGCTGGCTTTCACAGTTACCCTTCAGAGATATCCAGAAAGGGACCATCATGTAGTGACTGTCTAGCTTCACTGAATGTCTGAACCATTGGGATCAGGCAGTAAAGTAGGCTTTTTATGCCTTCAGGACCACTGTAAGCTGCCCAGGGTCAGCCACCCCTCTTCAGCTTGGTGACAGCATACTATGAACATGTGCTGTTTCGAGCCCATAGGTCAGGTAAGTTCAGTGACAGTCTCAAGTCACACAGTGGCCTGTGGCCAAGTGTTCAGGGTCTGTCAAGGCCAAGCACATCCAGAACTGTCTCCCAAGACAAAACCTATCCACTGTGGAAGGCAGAACTTTGCTGCACAATCCTAAGGGTGTGCGTTGTGATTCTAGGCAGCATCTATCAGCCAGGTTCACTGTACACCTGCCACTTTTCAGAGCTTGGGCCCCAGGGGTTTCTCTCTGGGCAGGTAAGGAGATTGCAGATGCTTATCACCTTTGTGAGGTCGAGCTTGTGATCAGAAGCTCCCCATATGCTTCAGTATGGCTAGGAGCACCCAGCTGATTCCTTTATAGTTCAGTTAAAATATTCCAAAGTAGCTCACTCCTCAGTCTTCCTCTTCTGACCAGAAGGATGAGGAATGCCACCACACACTTAGCCAAACAAAGGGATTGCCCTGGCAACTAGCTTTGCATTGTGTTTTTCCTGCTGCTTCCTGGTACTCAAGCTGGGGCATGCACCTCGTCCTGGAGGAGGTGTGGCAGCTCTTTGAGCCATCCCGGAGCTTGTGTGGTGTGTAGCAGAAGATGCCATTATAGGGCCGACCAAATAGCTCAGCAGCCTAAAGTGCAAGCTTAGGCAGAGCGCACGGCCAGGATTTGATCCCCCGCATGCTGTGCCAGCCCCAGCCCAGGGTGCGTGGAGATAGCACTTGAGACTGGGGGTGGTGGCAGGCACCTATAATCCCAATGCTTGGGAGGCTGAAAACAGGAGAATCACTACAAGTCTGATCTGTGTAGTGAGACCCTGTACCAAATACATTTTTTAAGAATGCAGTTGTTGAAGTCCAACTTGAGGAGCTCCCAACAGAAACAGACCTCACAGAGAGAGAGTACAGTTAGAGTACAGCAAGGTCAGCCACAT